ACAAATAGCCTGACTTGCAACGAAGTGCTGCTACATCGACTGAGGGTTTGGTTTGGGCAGGAAGTCTATCAAAAAATTAAATTTGAAAAAAATATATATTAGGCCTAAAATAATGCATTTTAATAATTTAATAATAATTTTAATTTTTTTTTGGCGGGTGTAGGTATATCCGAAAAAAATCAGATTTGTAACTTCATCTGGTTAAAATAATGCATTATTAAAAAATATTTTTTTCGGATGTAGTTACACCCGAGAAATCTACAGATGTAGTTGCACAGATGTTATTAAAAATCAATAAAATTTCGGATGTTGTTAGACAGATGTTATTATACATCAATGAAATTTGAAATGTCGTTTAGATGTTGTTGCAAAAAACTATGACATAGCAAAAGCTAATGTTGTTACCCTGACCCGTTTGTATGTATTTCTAATTTTTGAATACCTAGCTTTAAAATATAATTATTGCAAAATATCATTGTAGTTGTAAAAATATTTTGCTTTCTGACTATATGTTTAGTTTATTTTCAATTTTTTTATTATTTTACTTTTATATCTTTAACTCTATCTGACAAAATTTTAATATATTAAGGGGCTCTTTAAAAAGATTGAGGTGATTTTGCATCACCCATATCTTCTTTGAGTCCCGGTCTGTTTTTAAAGTATTTTATTTACTGATAGTTACCATGTAAAACTCATCATTACTTTTAACAGCGAAATATAAACTAAAAAAAAAGAAAATTTACATCAAAAGTACGAACAGGGACACCATCCATGCGTAACTTGAATTTGTTAGTACTTTGATATTTTACAGCTGTTGATGGAATCAGTCACTCTGAGACCTACCACTGAGTTTGAGAAACCTGACTACTAGCCGGCCTCAGAATCATAAAACTGTGTTTGATAGCTGTATTAAGAGATAATAGAATGAGTTGCTTGTCATAAAACAGAAGCACAAACAAAATTCATGCATTGAATCAAGAAGATCTGGCATTTAACATCCTAAACTGCAAACAATGTATTATAAGTATATTTGCGTCAGCCTAATAGATGAAGAAGGACTGCGAGGCTAATCAACAGATAGAACCTTGGGGCTTAATGATAAATTTGTCTTCTTCTAGCCCCGGTCATGTAAACATTTTTTTTTAAGTTACGACTGTAAATTTTTTTTTATTGGCTAAAATTGCAAAAAAAAAAAACAAAAAAAAAAACTGCTTACCCCTTAAGTCTTTGCTTAGGAGGCCTTCTACAAGACAGTAGCCAATTGCGTTTAACATCTGTCCAAGATGAGTATTTTTATCGAGACACCACCTCTACCTTTTACTCAACCAAGATTCCCTAGGCAGGGGTTGTTTTAAGTCGGAGTTGGCTTCTCCTAGTCTTTGGCTAAAAAAGTGTGTCCTGCACAGCAGCATGATATAAAGAAGATTGTACTGGGTTACATGTTACCAGTAGCAGGATAATCTGACCTGACTTTAACGCTTTCATTTCAGCTATAATTACAAACTTTCAATTAAGTCATAGGTTTAGTTGATAGTTTATGTGAAACGAATGGATTTTACACCTTTTTTTGTTTTTTTGTTATATCGCATATAAAATAATTATTTGCTTCAATATTGTATTGAATATTTTTTGTCTTTAACAGTTTTATATTTTCTTATACTTGAAATTGTTGTGAATAAACAAAACCAGTTGATTTTAAAACTCAGGAAAAATTTGTGTGCATGCGTATGGGTTAGAAGGTAGGAATTCTATACAAGTGATGATAATCGTAAACTAATTTATAATGCTGTTGAATTAATTTACAGTAAAATAGGTAAAAGATTTTATGAATTAATAAAAGATATCTTTTTATTTTGTAAAAGAAAAAAAAATCAACATAAAGATTCCACAAATAAATGTTGGAAACCAGATAAAAGGTATAATTGGGATCCTTGATCGCTTGAATATCAACACCTAAACTGTGAATCGATTTTAAAGTTTGTTATTTAACTCAAAATAATATCTTCGCAAAGCAGTAAAATTCAATTTATGTGCTAGTCCAGATGGTCTTATTTATGACGATAACAAGAATTTATGTGGAGTTATTGAAATAAAGTGTGTGAAAATCTTTAAAAGTCGATCTGTTAACAATATAATTGGGCTTTCTAATAATGAAAAACTAAAAGCTGTAATTAGTAGACAATGTTTTTCCATTGTTGATCAGAAACTTATTTTAAAAAAGTCGCATATCTATTACTTCCAAATTCAACATCAACTTATCGTTACACAATGTTTGTACTGTAATTTTGTTTTACATTCTGGTGTTAGAGATCTTTATATTGAGAGAATCTTTCCAAATGAAGATCTTCATAGACGTATTATTATTATTACGTATTTAATCTACTAAGTTGTTTTGGTCTAAAGTTCTGGTACCTAAGTACTTTATTATACAAGTACCACGAAATTTCATGCCTGGCATTTAAAACTAAATTATATTAATTGTATTTGTTGTTAGATTTAATATGTTTACGAGATAGGGGAAGTGGGGGCATAACCGCCCCCGTAACGTTTGGATTAATGTTATTTGAAAATAAAAACGAAATGTGTTTTTTTAACAGTTTATTTCAATAACCACATCATTAAGCTTTAAATTGATGCATTTAAGATAAAAATTGAACGGGTTTTGAAAATGTTATTACACAAAAATTACACTTAGTGAAAAAAACGGTTTTGCCCCCATTGTGAGGCACAACCGCACCCTCACAAAAATCGATGGGGCTACACCTTTCATGGTACATTTTTTTTACAATTTTCACAGCTCAGATTATTTGATAATTTTGTTGCATGTTTGCATACTGTGCAGACATTCTTTGTTTTTACATTTTGAGTTCTGCCCCAGAAGAGAGTTCTGCCCCAGAAGAGAGTTTTTAGAAAGAATTCAGTTTTATAGCTTAATTATTAGATTATGATATTATCGAAAATGGCTTTCACTTCATGAAATAATGTTTATAACACATATCTTTAACACTAAAATAAAATATTGCTTAATTCTCAAAAAGAAGGTCAGGAAAAATATGATGTAAGTATAATATTTTTATCAAAATAAACATTATTCACAACTTTTCAGAAACTTAACAGTCACTCTTTTTGACATATGCAAAATGAAGGAAACTGTTTTACTAACGCGTGGAATGTTTTTTGCCATATAAGATAACATTTTTTGAAGAGAAATGTTAAAAAACGGTTGTGCCGCCATATGCGGTTATGCCCCCACTTCCCCTATATACTTAATTAAATTTTGATTTTTAGTTTTAGTAATCTTCAAATCTTTAATTTTGGTTTTATAATTTTAAGTATTGGATTAAAAAGTTTCAAACACTTATAATTTTTAAATTATAAGTAAACAAGTCTTAAATTTGAATAGTTTGAAAATTTTTTAATTTTTAGAATAAAGAAAATTTGTCCTATATTATATACTCTTAGTCTCCAATAGACCCATGATAAGGAGTGTGTTAAGGAAATGTTGATGTGAAAAAATATCACAAACTAGTAATCAAAGAATAAGGATATGAAGGGGTGTAGAATTTAATTTATTAAATATATATTTAATAAATCTATAATTAAAGTTGACTCTTGAAATTCGAGATATTGAGAGGATTTTGGATCAAATAAGTGCGCAAGGGACTGGAAATAAAGTTCAAGATATTGAGTAGTTGAGATATCAATAGTCAACTGTATCACTATTTTAACGGTTTATACTTATACTTTACTGATCAAAATAAATTTTGATCAGTAAAGTATAAGGGATGATCCATAAAGTATGTACACCTTAAAAGTAATAACGACTGGATAACGACAACTCCCCAACAACAATGTTTAGTGGCTCCAGTCGACAGCAATCCTTCACCATCGTTTGTTTGTTTGTCCGTATTCGATGCCACAACACTTTGCGCGTGTAATTGGAAAATCTATTTATAGAATTACTGGGTTAAAGCAATTGCTCATTTTATTCACCCGGCCTTTAGTTGAATTGATCAGTTCTGCAGTAAGTTGTATGAGCATATAATTTATTAAATAATTCATCTATATATATTATGTTAGCTATATAAGTTTTATTTAGTTTTGGTCTTATTATTTTAGCAACCATTGTTATGATATTAATTCTTTTAGTGTTTATATTTTCTAATTTTAAATGATTAAATATTTTCAAATTTTATATAAGTATTTTCTAATATTACGTAAATAAATATTTTTAGATATTACATGGATAAATATCTTCAAACTTTACATGAATAAAATTTTTTTATTTCTATATATAAAAAATTGAAAAATAAAAATTTAATTTTGCACTTGCGTCTTTTATAAAAAATATAAATTATGATAAATTAAATCAATACAGATTAATTTCGATTTTAGTTTAACTGAGAAAACATTATGACGTTTAAATGCAAGCTCGAATACTATTAACATTTGATTTCAAACATGAATAGTGCGGCCTACAGTAATAGAGTGTCAAATACGGGGGACTAACTGAAAATTTTGTATTAATGCAAGATCTATTTTAAAAAAATAAGCAAATAAAAAAATAGTATTATTTTACATATATTTCTTTGAGAAAATAAAAGAAACGTTTTTTCTTTTTTAACGCGTTAAACATTTAACCTATAATAGTTTACTTTTATTTTGAGCAAATTTTGATTGAAGTAATTGAATTTAGTTTCTTTAAGGCTTTTGGTCATTTTCCGCGCAAAACTGTATATTGTAACAGTTATGTAATAACTTAAATTATTAAGATCAAACTAAGATCTCAATTTGATCTAAATTTGAAACTAAGATTATTTTCCTTTACGAGGTACAATACTTTTTCCCCCATTATTTATTTCCATCATTTGTTTCTTTTTCGCTACTAAAAATTAATTTATTATCAAAATATGCAGTTTTTAAAAACTCTTTTTTTTGTGTGTGTTATTTTCTTAGAAATCCTATTTTGTTTTACTGAAGAAAATGTAACTAATGATGAGAATTTTTAAATTTCATGAAAACCCCCGGTTAATTCTTTTAAAAAATCTAAAAAATGAATTGCTTGATGAGTGAGATTCGCGGCTATTTGGCTTTGCTTTATCAGAGTTAGGTAATATATTATTTGCATATTTTTAAAGCAAAGTTTATGAAAAGTTTAGATAACAATTTTCCCTTATCTTTTGTGTATACAATAAAAATAAAAAGGTTATAGAAAAAGTATAAGTTTAAAACATTTTTTTTTTTATTCAGGTACAATTATGTTTATCTACTATTCAGCTGTTGGATTGCAGCGCGAAAAAGGGTAATGATTTTAACCATGTGATCAATACAAACGGAAGATGAGGAATGTCAAAGAGTTTACTATTTTAACAAAAAAAAATAAACTTGCGTTTCTACCAGGGGAGATTTTAAAAGGTGAACTTTATCTTTGTTTTGAAAAAGCAATACCAATAAAATCATTAAAAATCATATTGTGTGGTGATGGAGAAGGCCAATGGCTTATTCAATCTGCACGGCCTGAAGCTAAACAAGATGGAAAAAAGAAGATACTTATTGATGTAGGATTGCTTGTATTTGGATTTGCAGAAAATAATGAAAAATCATTAGTTCACGATCGCGGTAGGTTTGTGTACGATTTCGAATTTAATATACCTCATAATCTTCCTGTTTCCTTTAAGAGTCCACCAGACAAAAATCTTGGGTATGCTAGATACTTTCTAAAGGCAATTCTTTGCCGACCAAAAAAACGCGATAAAATTAAAAAATTTAACATTGTTATCAACGAGCTTATAGATCCTGATCGACCAGAGTTAGCATTTCAACCAGGTTCATATAAAGAAAAAAATGTTCGAGCTGGATTGGTTCCTTGTGGATCGTTATCTCTGGAGAGTTATTTAAACCAATCACAGTATGTTCAAGGGCAGAGTGTTTTTATTAACACAATTGCTCATAATAAGTCATCAAAAATAATAAAAGAAGTTTACGCCAAGCTGATAAGGAGAACCTGCTGCAAATCACTTTGCGGGGCAAGTACTTTTATGATAGATACAACTAGTTTGCATGAGAGTCGATTGGGACCGTATGGAAAGTACGTAATAACTTATTTAAAAAATTTCTTTAAAAAAAGTGTTAAGGTCAAGTGTTAATATACAAATGAGATATACCAATTAATTATAAAGCTTTTTTTTAGACTTGTATGGACTAATAAAGAATTAAAAATTCCAGCAGTTGGACCAACTATAACTAGAAATGATGATATTAGAGTTGACTATATAGTTCGAGTAGGAATGTACGAAGAAATGGGCAGCGAAATACATATAGATTTGCCTGTTATCATAGGAACAATGCAAAATAAAGGTATTTACCTTTTTTCATTAATTCATACATTATTATTCAATCAAATATTATTTTTTTTACTAGTTCAATTAATCGTTTTATAACCTTGCCTACCCAATATTGTTTTTTTACTTTAAATTTTTATAAATAAAATAATAAGATAATATAGTATATAAATCTAAATGTTCTTGATCAGAAAAGTTACAGTTTTGTTCTTATTTTACACATTTGTTTAAACGTCTAAAGACTGATTATTTGAGGTAGTTTACTCTTGCAGAGGTAAAATGTCACGCCTTCAAACCATTGCAGAGATAAAATGTCACACCTTTAAACCATTGCAGAGATAAAATGTCACACCTTTAAACCATTGGGATCTTTAAAAAAATCTTGGTTAAGTTTTGCATGATATTAAAATGAAGAGAAACAAAATATAATTTAAAAGAAAAATAAAATTAATAATAAGAGCTATAAGTTTAAATAATTCACAAAGATTTCCAATTTTACAGGTAAACTATTTGATAAAATTAAAATGTTTCATATTTTCTTAATAAAGGGAGTTACGACTCACAAAAAATAGTGTTAAATATGCAAGCTTGACCCTCGGCAAGGAAAATTATGACCGTTTATAGAGGAGATAAATTGAGCATTTAATCAAAAGTTTTTAGTACGAAATTAGAAAATAAGTCTCTCCTTCTAAGCTCTTGATACGTCTCTTTTTCTAAGCAATTTGCTTTAAAGTGGAGACTTTCTTCTTTTATTAATTAGCCACTTGTATAAGTTATTATTTTCTTTTTTAAAGGAGAAACTGAATTAGATGAAGAGTCTAAAGACGTGTATGATCGGAAAAAAAAACAGTATTGTCTTCAACTAGTCAAGACGGGTGAACGAGATATGTTTAGGCAAAACTTGCATCAGAAAGTCGTAAAAAAAACTAGCGCAATACCAAACAGCGAAAAGAATATTAAACCTTATTTAGAGGATGAAATCAATACTGCTGTTGATAATGAAAAAATGTTTGCAAGTTTTGATGGCGACGATGAAATTTATTCTGATAATCGTCAAATACCAAAAAGCGATGACCATCAAGTATTAAAAGTTGAAAAAAATAAAAACTATGAAAAAAGTAAATCTACATTCATTGATGAAAAACAAAATGATAAGAATAGTCAAAATTTAAACAAGTCGCACGATAATGAAGTATTAAAAAATTTAACTTCAGAAAAAGAAATGGAGAGGAGCCCATCGCAAAATGGAAAAATTCAAAACTTTCCTGAAACAATAGCAATTAATTCAAAAGGTTTAAAGCATAATACTTTAGATGCACCAAAATTTAATGTCAAGGATGAAAAAAAAGAGGAAGAAATTAATATTAAAAGCAGCTGTCAAAAAGCAGAAAAAAAACCCATTGACTTACAGTATTGCGGAGATAATTTACCTGAAATTGAATATGAAAAAAAAAGGCTGATTGGAAAAAATAAATTTGATAAAAAGGTGCAAGAAGATAATGATGATGAATGTAAAGGTAGAAAAATTGAATGTGAGCCCACTTCATTTTTGTTGAGAAAGTCAAGTTTTCCTTCTCACTCATTAAGTAAAAAGGGAGTTAATGCAAGTACTGGATCATTGAACATCTCAAGTAGTGGATCTTTAAATAAAAACTTAGGGGTAGCAAATAAAAGCTTAGAGTTGTCAAGCAACAGCAGAAGTTCTTTGAAAAAACAAGCAAATTTTCTTTCAGATCCTTCTTTAAAAACCTTTAAAGGTGGATCTGAAAGAAAAGGTTTTGTTTCACCATTCAAAAAAAGTTCGGTATCTTTAAACAAAAGCGCAGACTCGTTAATAAACAAAGATTCAAATTTGCCTCTAAAATCAAATTTAAAAAAAAGTTCTGGTAACTTAAATAATAGTACCGGATCAATATCCAATAGAGAACCACTTCCATCATTGTCATTATCCAATAGAGAACCACTTCCATCATCATCATTGAGTACAAATTCGTTGAATGGTTTAGCATCATCAGCAGAAAGAGAACCAATTTTTCTGACAAAATCTTCTTTACCAAAGAATACAGAATCATTAGAAGATAAGAAAAAACTTATTTTTTATAAACAAAACGAGGATTTTGGAGAATTACACGAAAGAAATAAAAACTCCTCACAAAACTACAGCAGTTCAGAAAATTTAAAACCTCCCTCTTATAAGCAATTGACTACAAAATATAGTAAGAGCCATGATCAAAATGAACAGATTGATCAAAATGAACAACTTTTATATCCTATTCAAAACAAAAAAAGTAAAGTTGAAAAAGAAGTAAAAATTCCATTTCATTCAAGTACATCAGAAAACAGTGAAACACAGCATAACGAAGGGTATTATTGGAAAGAAGTTATGGACAGCGAAGGGGAAATGTTTGCAACTCCGCCTCAAGAAAGAAAACAAAAAAAAGACAAAAAACATTTAAAAAAAAAGGCTTCCAATGTTACTGATGAAATAGATGATAAAGATGTTGACAAGAAAGATTTGAATGACGGAAATCTAAATAAAGAACTTTTTCGAAGAGACTCTGTAACAGTAAAAAATGAATTATATGGAACAAACAAACAGGATGAATTATATGGAACAAACAAACAGGAAATTAAGCAACCAAGTAAGCTTGAAAGTAGTTCTGCAAAGGAAAATGGAATTCAAAAAAAAATTATTAAAAAAAAATCTGAAGAAGACCATAACTTACCAAGCACAAACTTATTATTAGATGGAAAAGACATAATGACACAAGATGACACAAACATTAGTAAAAGAGGAAATAAGTCTGAGAATGTTAATTCTAAATATTCAAATACGAAAAACTTTGATGTCATAGAAAACAAAGAAAAAGAAAAAAATGAAAAAGTTGTCGCATCGTTAAACTCTATTCCTAATAAGTTTGAGAAAACTTCAAATGCAATTGGTTTTTTTGAAAAAATTTTTGGAAAACAAAAACCTCAAGAGAATCAAATAATCAAACCTGGAGAAGATAGAATGAACCAATCAAATAGAACTAAAACACCAAATGAAGATAATTGTGAAATACAACTTGTAAAAGATAATTCATTAAGTGCAGTAGATAAACAAAAAACACTAAATGAGGATAAACAAAAAATAAAACAAAACTTTGATACAGGTATACCTAAAACAATAGTCGAAAAAAAACAGGAAGTAAAACAAAAGCCAGTAGAGAATAAACATAAAACATTATCTAAAGAAAATCATGATAATAAACAAAAACTAGCAGAAGATAAACTTAAAGCTGAAGTTTTAAATTTATCAGATGAATTTAACCAGGACGTTAAACGGACAACTGGAGAAGATAACCAGGACGTAAAACAGACAACTGGAGAAGACAAGCATAAAACATTAACTGAGGAAAACCAAGAAATAAAACAGAAGCTTGTAGATCATAAACAAAAAACAATAGTTGAAGAAAACTATGATTATAAACAAAAGCCTGTAGAAATTAAACTTAAAGCTGATGTTTTAGGTTTATCAAGTGAAAAAAACCAGGAAATAAAACGGAAGTCTGTAGAAAAAAAAGATAAAACATTCGTTGAAGAAAACCAGGATAATAAACAAAAATCTATAGAAGATGATCTTAAAACATCAGGTGAATATGCTGTAAAAAGGGGTGAAGAATATAAAAAAAAGACTTTCTATGAAGATAAAAAGGGCGTAAAAGTAAAGACATCAGATGAAAGCAAGGAAGAAATAAAAATAAATGATAAGAATAAACTTAAACCAACAGAAATTAAATCAGAAACAAAACACGAAGAAGCACTTCTAGAAAAAACTATTGAAAAACAAGGAGAAAAAAATCTTATTTTGCAAACACTCTCTAACAAGGATAACTATGAAACAGCAGTTGTTGAAAACACAGACCCTGCAAAAAAAGCATTAATTATAAAAAATAACAAAGAACGTTTTGAAAAAAGAGAGGGAAAAAATCCAGATTTAACTGAAAAAGAAAGTGCGAAAAGCTGCAAACAAGTTAAGCAAACACAAACTCCGGCAGAAACTAATTTTTCATCAAAAAATGAAATAGTTTTATCAAGAACTAACTTATACCAACCAATGAACTTTCCAATGAACGAAGAAGTCTCTTCGGTAAGAGAAATAAGTAAATTGAAACAAGAAAGTCTTAAAAATTATGCTCATTCGTTTGATAATGGTTTTGGAAAAATTGAAAAAAAAAGTGCAGATAAAAATAATTCTTTTCAAATAGAAACGTTTTATAAAAAAACGTCAATCAATAATGAATTATCCAAAAAAAATGACAGTACTCAAAATAATTTTAAAAAAGATATCTATCCTCCTAGCCCTCTGAAATCTTCTCAAAAAAATTGTTCAAAACTTGCATCAAAAGTTAAAGCGCCAGCAAACAATATTTTAAACATTCGTAATGAAAAGGAAGTAGAAAATGAGACACACGAAACAATTGAATACTACTGCGATGATTCAAAGTGTTGGAAAGATGAATGGTACAAGCGCCGACCCATTTATCAATCCAATATCGTGAGAGAAGATCGTTTCAATTCTAATTCCAGTTTTGAAAAAGAACCAATTAAATCAAGAATTCAAAAAGAAAATAATAACAACTCGTTTGAATACGCAAAGAAAAAAAAACAACCTAAAACTCAAATAGCATTTGGCAGAGCCGTAAAGCTAGTTGAGAAGAAGAATAAATTGAATCCGAATGAGATGATTAAAACAAAAAAAATTTCGCAACCAAAATCTTACAACTCTTTAAAAACGTCATCAGATGGCAAAAATAACGAAAAGGATAATCTTTATGATGAATTTGAACAAAAAACTTTATTAGGCGAAAAAGCACAAACGAGAAACTCATTTGTAGTAAATTCAATAAAATCAAATTCTATAACTAACAATTCGAAAATTAGAAATAAAACGATTTCAGAAAATGTATTTAACGATAAATTAACAAATAGCGCTGAGAAGAAAAGCAATAAGCTTTTCCAAAAAACAGCTTCAGAAAAATATTATGCAAATAGCATACAAACTTCGGATATGATTAATATGCACAAATCAAATCACCACAAAATAAAAGGTGACCAACCTCTTTGTTATCAATACCAAATATCTTCATGCAGTCCAGAAATTGAAATATTTTCTAATAATCTCCTAATAGAAGAAAACAAGTCTCTAATTAATAGTAATGTTAGTACAACCGTTTCAAGTATGAGTGCAAGACCAATCGCATATCGCGTTATGAGAACTTCTAATGGAAATATTGGAACAAATAAAAAACCTGATGCAAGAGTTGTTACAAACAAAGTGCGTAGTTTTGCTAAAGGAGGAGACAAGAAAGATGAACGTTGTAAAGAAGTAGTAGAACATAAAAATATATCAAATAGCGCTGCTTTTAATAAAAACAAATTGCTTGAAAAACCAAAAACAACTGTTATTAAAAGAGATTTAAGAATTACTGATCAAAATCCAATAAAAAATTTTGTTCTAAATGAGAATCAACATAAAATAAAACTTGATAAACAAAGTGAGTTAAGGGAGAAAGAAAAAAGCTCAATTCCAGTTGCGGATAAAGCAAGCCCGATTTATATGTACTTTGATTCTTTAAATGAAAAAGAAAAATTATCTCAAGAAAATAACGGGGATATAAGAAGTCAGCCGTATTTTGACAAACTAAAAGGTACCAAACTGACAACAGATTTAAACGATCGCCAAAAAATAAATAGGGCAAATGAATTACGTATATCCTTAAACACTACTGACTCATCAACTGTTTTGAAAAACCAAACAAATTATATGAGACACAACGAAAATAAAAATGAAGTTACAAAAGTTGAGCTAAAATATGGAAGATACAATGAAAACATAAACGATGATATTGAAACAGAGATGAAATATCGAGGATACAATCAAGATGTAAATAAAAGTATGATAACCGAAATAGATTATGAAAAATGTAACGACAATTTAGAAGGCAAAACAATATTTTTTGATAATGGGCAGAAACCACTTTTGCAAAAGGTTGGCTGTAATGAGAATAGTCAGTTTAACATCGACTGGAGTAGAGTACCAAAGTTTATTGATAATAAAAAAGACTGGCACAAACCGAACTGTCGTTGGTCCGAACAAAAACGACAAATAGATAGCTTAAACTCAAGCGAAAAAATTGATAATTTGAATGCCTTTTTAATTCCTTTCAAAACAAATTATGTTACTAGAGAAAAAAGTAATTTAAATAACGCAAATCAGCACGTCGACGGTTTGTTTCAAAAAAGATCAAGAGAATATGGGAAACTTCATTTAGAAAACGGGCAAAAATATAAAATGCCTAAAAAAAACATTAACCAAACTGTCAGTGAGTTTTCTCAAAAAGAAATCGTAAACAAACAAAACAATAGCGAAAATGATGTAAGCGAGTCTGAAGAATACAACTTATCTAGAAAATTACCTAAGTTACCTAAAAAACACTTGCGTTCAAAGTCATTTGAACCAAGTCCCAAATCAGAAATATTATCCGAACTGCTCAAAAACAGAGAAGCTTTAAGTCCAATTTATCGAACAAATCTTGGTCCGATTCACTCGTATGTAGGTCATATTGAACGATTGGACAACAATTTAAATAATTCTAAAGATTTAATATCAAAACTTGACGAAGAAAATATTAAAAATGAAAGTTTTCCTTATCATCCAATTGTAACTGAATTGAAATTAAATTCTCATGAAAAAGAACTTCAGCTTCCTTCTGTTCCTGCTAAAGAAATAACTAGTTTAACTTTAAACGAAAAAAATAACAGGTCGAACATTTCTGAAATTGTTGAAACTGATGATGCAAAAAAAGTGCACTCTTATGCTTGGATAGTAGATATTGAAAACGTTAAAAAAAAAGATAAAAAAAGTTATGAAAAACAAGCAACTGATCTTAATGTCAATGAATTAATTTATAACAAAACAAAGTCTTTAGGAGATAATGAATCAGGTACTGTATCGGATACTGATAAAAAATATGATTTTGTTGACTTAAACAAAAACATAAAACTTAACGATTTTCGAAAAAAAGGAAAAATATTGCTTCCAAAAAAGTACTTTTCTTCCAACAAAAAGCTTGGTTTGGAACCATCCAAAAAGGTTGGTTTGGAACCACCCAAAAAGCTTGGTTTGGAACCACCCAAAAAGGGTTTATCTAGAAGCATGTCGATGAAAATAAAACCTGACAATTCAAAAATAGTGATGCGCAGCAGAAGTGTAGAGCCTCATTCTTCAACTAAACACACATGCTTAGTATCGATTAACAATATAGAAAAACCCTTTAATGTTAGTAATAATGAAAGTAAAGTGATAGAATCTGACATCAATACAAAAACATCCCACCAAAATAAAATCGAAGAATATGACGTGAAATCAGAAAAAAACAATCTTACAAAAAGTTTATATAAAAACTCAAATAAGAGAACAAGTAAGAAATCGTATTCAAAGTTCAAAATTAGTTCCAAAAAACCAAAATACGATGTCGACTTACTTTCAGAACGATCGAAACAACAAAAAGATTTTACCTACACTCAAATATACGCTAAAAAAAAAAAGATACAAGTTGAATCTCCTGGAAAAACATATAAAAATGAACTTTCTTATGTTGATGTTCCTAAGGTGTTCAAAAAGGGATCTATATTAGGAACAAAAACCCACCGCATAAGAACAGTATCAGAACCACTTCCTGAAAAAAACGCATTAGAGATTTTACCTTATTTAACAAAAAATGCATGGGAGAATAAAGAAGCAGAAGGGCGACTTGTTTCATATCAGTATACTCCTATAGAAGAGCTGACGCACGGTAGCGAAGATAGTCAAGATGAAAACGAATGGTCTCAAAAAATTAATGATTATATAAAAAAGATCAAAGAGAAATCAAACATATATAGAGTAGAAAATAGTACCAACTGTGGTTACCATTCTCTAGCACCATCAAATCTTCCAGGTGAAACATCGTATGGCAAAAATTTTTATACTAACAAACACAATTCAACAAAAGAAGTACTATCTATTTCTTCTGTAAAATCTGATGTTTCAATAAAAATACCTCCCAAATCAGCTGTTAGACCTTTAGTTAACTCCGATAATAGTGATAACTCGTATATGTTTAAAAATATATCATGCGTAGAAGCAGTTGCTGTAAACCACGGCAATGGATTAATGAGCCAAATAAATAACTTAACGACAAAGACCAACAAAAGATTTCGACTCGAAGATAGTTTTGATCAGCATGAAAAGTCGCTTGGTATTGTTGACGAATCAGGAAATGTTCGCAGCAATAAACAACTCATGGCAACAAATGAAAGTGAATGGATTTTAGAAGAAAAAAGAAGGCTTCAGAAAATTCAACAAAGGAAACATGATAGATTTATAAAAGATTTAAAGTCATATAAAATAGATCGGCCGGCAAGTTGTCCATCCACGTTAGGTCCCAGAGAAGCTATTTTTGATTATCATAGCAAAAACATGTACCAAGATGTCACCGGTAGTGAAACAGAAACGGAATATACAACAGATGATGAGGAAAGCAACGATGATTTTACTAACGCGTAAGTAACAATAAATTACTATATAGTAAAAGATCTATTCCTATTAAATATCTAATTATTATTAAATATGTAGTATTAAATATTTTAAATAGCGAATGTTTCACATAGGTTTTGTTCCTTAGAAGATTCATTGCCAAAAGTTTCAATAGAAAGCAGTTCACCGCCTGAAAAAATAACAAACACAGATGCAAAAACTAATATCAAAGAGTGTAAATTAAATAATATTCAAAACAACGGAGCAGAAAACGAAGAAGTGCAAAGCAAACAACCTATTTTAAAAGAAAAAGCCGAATAATTTTTTTTTTTTGCAGAGCATTCAATTTTAAAGTTCAGCCAATTTATTCGCTAACTTTTCTTTTTCTTGTTTCTGAAGCTTTTAGAGAAGAGCGATAATAAAGACAATATTTAAATGATCAAATTTATTTGACCAAAATTTTACATTTCAGCCTTACACAATTTCTTCCGATTTCCACCTTTGAACAAAGATTTCCTTTTTTTTTCAACCATCATTCTAAAGAACCAAACAAAATTAAATATTAATATAACACTAATTGATAAATTGTATTAAATTGTAATAAATGTATTAAATTATTTAGAAATTAGTTTAGTAAATTCTCAAATATTCCTTAAATAAAGGGGTTGTCAAAATTTTTTTATTTAAATAAAAATTGCACTCGTAAGAATATTCTGCTTATTATTTACAAAAATTTTTTGAAACTAATCCAAAGAACATCTTTAAAAAATATGTTAAGGTGTTAAAAATATAAGCTGCATCATTTGGATGTTAAAACACGCGAGTCTCCATTCAACCAAAATACAGTCTGGTTTACTCAACCAGGAAATAGTTTTAGCTTAACATACTTTCCTAAAATTGAGTTGAAAACGTTCTAGCTCTATATCTGAAAAATCTTTGAAATAAGTTTAAATTTATACGCGAGAGGTTCGGAGTTCGACTCCCACCACGTCCCTGGAAGTACCCCGCTCAACTTAATTTCTCCGCGCAGCGGTCTTGCTTGTCAAGGTTCGTGTTTCGGAGTTAAAGAGTTGAGAGAGGATGGTACCCATGGCCGTCTATACTAACAGGCCTCATAAACGCGTAAATCGGAGCCTGGGGCTGGGGGCCATTAAAACAACAACAACGAAAGAAAAGTTAAGGATAACATAAACTTTTGGTCGTAAAAAACGTTTAAATGTTTTTATTTTAATAAAACCTGTTTATATAATAACAAAGATTAAAAAAAAAAACATTTCCTAGCCATAAAGGTTTATTTGTAATAAGGCTAAATCTAGAAAAAAATTACCAAGCTAGAGAGATTTTACAAAATACTCAATCATTAATTAAACAAATACACAGGAAATAGTAATAATCATAAAATTCATCATAATTAAAACAAATACATAGGTAATATAAGAAACATAACAATGAAGCCACACAAAAACTATATTTTAAAATGTAAAACTAGAAATTAAACATTTTTACTTAAAACAACAAAATTGTAATGACATTTTGAAAATATTTCCAAGCTATACAATATAATATTGAAGTGGTAAAATGTGTATAAAAATAACAAAAAAAAAATAGAATTTAAAGAAATATATACGTAAAATTAAAGTCGTCATAATTAAAAAAGCAATATATTACTATGAAAGTTTTAAAATCTTTTGTTGTGGCTCTTTATACGACCTTGGTGTATATAAACTAACATAGTTTTTAAAATATATATTTGAAAGTGAAACAGCATGTTTTCTTTCCATGTTAAAGATATAAGACTCTGATATTAGGATTAGCACATTGCAGAGTGACTTACGGCAGACTTGATTAACAATTTCATGAAATAATATGTAAGAGAAAATTGTCCATTGACAAACATTGTCATTTGGTATTTTCAAACATTCACGATTTATTTCTTCAGTACAATCACCAAACTCTGCATAATAAAATTTAGCATCTTCTTGTTCTTCAACATCATTTCGCACAATAAATCCAGCTATATATACCAATCCTGCTTTGGTATCTATTTGAACACTATTTTCAAGTTCAGGCAAATTATCAAATATATCAATAGCATTACTGCTAAGTATCCACATTTTTGACAGCTATGTCCACTTTCTGCAGATAAAGAATCAATTTCTATTCCAATTTAATTTGGCTCTTTGAATTTTTACTTTTTCCATCACTTGTTGCACATTGATAAAATATGCTCCTCCAGAACCTTGTCGAAGTTTTCCGAACATTTTTTCTAGTGGGTCAGTTGTAAATTTTCCCAGTATAACATACTTAAACGAATGTTGGAGCAAAAATTTAGTAATGGCAACTAAACCACGGCATGTATGAGCTAAAGCTGCACCTGTATCTCTGGTTAGCTGAAATTGTCTTTTGCGCTGTTTGCTGGTCATTTGTTCTGCCATTGTTGCAAGATTAAGTAAAAATGTCAGTCTAGCATCTCCTGAAGTTGATATAACTGCTCTATCTGGATCTTTATATCGAATATCAGCATACAGTCCTTTTGTATTAACAATTTTCCAGAATTTCACAAATATTTCAAGTAAAGTAATGGTGCCTTCTACTTCTTTTATGTTACTGTTGGATTTTAAAGCAGTTGCAGTTTCATCACAAAAGACTTGTAAGCAAGTAATCTTTTGTCTTTCAATAGGTTTTGGTGCAACAGACACACTTGTAAGTTTAGACAATTTTACGATGTTATTTTCTTCAAGCCTGAACAAACTTAAGATATTAGACCAGCATGCATATTTAGTTTTCCCTTCATGTTCATAACATAGCTTTTGACTTCTTTCTGTAACCCAGTTATTACGGACAGATTTAAGAAGATGGACAAAGTCATATAACAAGAACATATTGTCTTTAGTTAACCATGGCTCAACACATGGTTATTGTCGCATATTAAGGCTACCGGTATTCCTCCTGCACTCTTTATTCCCCCTAAAACAAATTGAGTTTGTTCAAACAGAAATTTAGAATCAAGCTCACAGACTGGTAAAATTCTGCAAAGATATTGTGGTCCTCCGTAAAGTGATACTAACATAAAACTTAAAACAGTAGTTGCTAAAGACTCTGGTTTATTTACCGCTTTACCAAAGACTGAGCCAGCATGATAAGTAAGAGATGATTTGACATAAACTTTGTCAATTAAAATCATACAATTTTTTTGCATTTCATTTTCAAGCTTAGAATAAACTGATTTAAAAAACTCTGTGTCGTTCATTGCAGAATCCAGTTTAGAAGTTAGCTTTGTTAATAGGGAAATGCTTGGAAGTTCATAATCTTCCCTTAACCTTCCATATAACGATCTCGAAATTGCAAAGTATTCAAAGTTTAATGCTTTGCAAAGTATTCAAAGTTTAATAGTTTAATGCTTTTTGCTAGGTTATTTAGAAAATTTATAGCTTCTTGTAACTTCGAGGAAGAATTTAATATGAAAATCCTGTTTTCAGATAGAGATGCAATTGTATGCTTAATTCCACAAAAGTATCCCTCGAATGAAAGATCATTTTTTATTTTGAGCATAAATCTGGCAATGGAAGTGTTTTCTTCAAAGTCTGTTGATTGAATTATTAGCAAATGTTCACCAGCAAAATACCAAGTTACATCAACTAATTCAAAATTAATTTCTTTATTTTGTAACTTCTGATGTAATGATTTAAAACATGTAATCTGATCAGCAGCTATAAACATATCAAGTTCATCGGGTATAATATTACGAACAGATGAAGAAGCTTTAAAGGTTGTTCTTAATGGCGATGGAACACTAGGTATCAAACTAGGTTTTACACATGTAAAAACTGATGGAGGATCACGTGGCCTTTTATGACTAAACTTTATAACTGTTGTATATCCCAATGGAAAGTGTCTTTCGCACACAACTGTATCTGGACTTTCAGGTATATTATCTTGTGGAATAACATTTATCCAACGCATATATTCTTCTTTATCAAAAGGAAGCCGGAAAACTTTTTCTTTATTTTGTTTGTTGTAATTACCATTACAGTTTGTCACGCAACATTTTTTTGTCTGAAAACTAGATAACAATTGTACTATATTAAAAAAACTTTGTTGTCGCTAGCAGTTATCGAAGATAGTTTTGAAGTTCAATGGCCCCCAGCTCCAGGCTCCGATTTACGCATTTACGAGGCCTGTTAATACAGGGGGTCATGGTTGTCATGGTTCCAAATTTATTAAGGTTATTAAGGTATTAATTTATTAATTGATTATTAAAATATTAAGGTATTAATTTATTAATTATTAAATTTATTAAAAATAATTTATTTAGACATAAAGGCTGCAGAGAAAATAAAAAACATAACGAGAAAATAGCATAATAAATTACTAAACTAATTCTCACATTATTAAATTATGATAGCTTAAATATTTTCATTTTAAATTCTTAGCTGCTAATGGGAGTAGTAATTAGTGTGTAATTCTTTAGCAAAATATTAGAATATATTCTGCATTATTTTTTTGTTTTTTTTTGTGATTTTAAATTCATATTTAGTTGCTAAGAACTGCAACTGAGTAACACAAAATGTTCTGCATAAAGGGCCACTTGCACCTTGAAAAAATAAAAAGCAAAATATTGACCATTGGACAAAATTATCAGAAGGAATTTGAAATCCGCATCTGTTTAGGCTATATTGATATTTCTACTTACTATTTCTAGATACTTCCATATTTATTATAATAAGTGGTAGTATCATCATAAATTTTGCATTTTTGCACATAGTCAACTATGTAAACTATAGCTTTATTGTAGATTTATTTACAAAGCTTTGAAGATCATGTATATTATCATTATTTATATTATCAAGCAGTTCTTTTTTATCAGTAAAAATATTTCTACAACATATGTCGATCAAGTATAATCATCTTAGATTGGTATCTACAGGAATGCCAAATTATAATATCAATTTAATATATTGAATAAGAATTTTTTCAAATACAGATTTAGCATTTACAAAGTACCTCCAAATTCCTATCGAAGCTTATAAAAAGTTTTTTTAAGTGGATCTGTTGAAAACTAACCTAATAAAACTATATCTGGGTGCGTTCTTATGGCAGCTACTGTTTCTACGCAAAAAACAGACAAACGAAACTTTACAGATTGCTTCTATTGGTTTCGGATAAACTGATATAGCTGTAAAGAGTCTTTTAAAAAAGAATGTTTCACTCAGTTTTATATAAAGTTTCCAAATCACTTAACCGAAGCCAGTTCTCCATTGTGCAAATTTGAAGCTCGCCAGTCTTTTCTGTCAATCAATTGCTTTGTGCAGATTTTAAGAGATACACATAATCGTATAATATACCTGATGTTGTTAACCATGGTTTACTATCAACTGTTTTAAACATTTTAAAAAATAGTTGATTTACATGGTTACTATCAATAATCATTGCTAGTGCCTTTTGACTATTATCAATATTATTTATTGTAACAACAATTTGTTGACATTGAGACATTGATAGAAGTGGGAATTATTTTTTTCAAGTTACGACCCTATAACAATTGGTGGAGTACTCGGTGTAGTTAAGGCGATTTACAAATTTTTCCAATTCTTTTATTTAAAATTAGCATTATTTCATAAGAATTTTATGCCCAAAAAAAACTTTGTGTTATAATTTTTTTTTACTTTAGGTTTTTTTATTATTTGAAGATGCTTTTCTCTTTTTTAT